TTCCACTTCCTCTCTAGTTCTTCCTTCAGGCCCTGGTTCTAGCTAGCTAGCTATGACTTCCCCCTTCATCACAAATACAAACAATTTCAGTAACTTATCACCTTCACTAATACTACTCATATCGTGCGCATTGATTAAATGTTTAGAGCAGGAAGCACTTACCAACTTATAACCTTAATATACTAAGATGCACTGATGATGTTTGAGGAACAATCTGGTATATTAGTAACATAGTTCCATGCAACAAGTGTGGATAAGGACACAGGCTAAAATACTTCTCTCTCTCTCTCTCTTTTTTTTACATAGTTGTAAGAGAAAAGCTTGGAATATTTTTGAGTTCATTGATTTTTTTTAAAAAAAATCAATGAACTCAAAAATATTCCAAGCTTTTCTCTTACAACTATGTAAAAAAAAATGCACTGATGATGTTTGAGGAACAATCTGGTATATTAGTAACTTTTTTTTACATAGTTGTAAGAGAAAAGCTTGGAATATTTTTGAGTTCATTGATTTTTTTTAAAAAAAAATATTTTTTCCACATACATTTTCAACCATGGGTAAAATATTAAAAAGTGCACCACTGTGTTACATCAGTAGTTTTCAGGGTTTTGTTTTGTTTTTTTCATTGAGAAGGAATAATAGTCCGTGAAAGTTCTCTTGTTAAGTTGAGGCAAATTGAATATTTGAAGCAAATGGTGCTTTTGAGCCACCCCTAGATTGGCCAAAAATGTAGTCGCTGCATTCCAATATAGAGGGAATTTTTAATGGCCATTGTTCCTTCAGCCAATTGCATCAGGTTCCACCACTGAGGTGTCTAAGCCCATTTTGAAGTACCAGTGAATTCTATCAGTTAATTCTCATGCTTGTTCAGACCAGAATGTACAAGACCTCATGTCTGATTACAGAACATTCCAGTGTCCACTATAACATTCCATTTTCTCCCAGAATGTCCCTGGTCATTACAGGACCAGTTCATTGTTTTCTAGAATTTATTATTCTGGATAGAAAGTGGTTCACAGTGTTCTGAACATGGGGGAAATGTCAGAGAAAGCTAGGGAGGAGGTAAGGGAATTAGGAAAAGAACAGCAGCACAACTATTTCATTTTTCTCTTAGAAACAAAGGGGCTGTGTTGCTTTGTGAAGTAGTTTTGAAAGGTGCTTCATTTGAATCTTTGTTGAAGTAACAAAGCACCCCCTTGACATTTCCACAGCTCTACTAATAGTCCTTTCCTCCCTTTTTCTCAGCAACTGGTATTCAGAAACGTACTGTAAGTCTAATATATAGTCATTATGACTAACAGCCATTAAAGCTTTATCTTCTATGAATGTACCTAATAACTTTTTAAAGCTACTCAAATTGGCAGCAATCACCGTATCTTCTGCAAGCAGTTCCACAGTTTAAATGAGAGCTCTGTGAAATACAACTGTTATCTTTGAATGGTATTTATAATTTTACATGTTATTTCCCACCTTACTCATCACTTTGTAAGTCCAGATCAGCCTCACGTATCACCTGGCTTCCTTTAAGAGTTGACCCACTCTTCTGCACAGTTTGGTTGGCCCTTTGCTGCATTTTTTTCAACACAATATCTTTTTCATATTGACCAAAATTTTGGTCAGAAATGCAGATTGCAGTTTGAACTAGTAACAATGACAACAGTAATTGATTATGTGCCATCAAGTTAGTGTCGACTCTTCGTGACCACACAAACAGATCTTCTCCAGGATGACCTGCTCCCAACCTGGTTCTTCAGGTCTCCCATCACCACTCCATCCACCTTGCTGCTGGTCATCTTTTCTTTTTCCTTCCACCTTTCTCAGCATTATAGAGTTCTCAAGTGAGCTGGATTTTCACATAATGTATCCACAATATAATAATTTGAACCTGGTCATTTTGCCTCAAATGAGTACTCTGGGTTGATTTGTTCAATGATCCATTGGTTTGTTTTCTTAGCTATCCATGGTATTCCCAGGAGCCTTCTCCAACACCAAAGTTTAAAAGCTTCAATACTCTTTTTATCCTGCTTCTTCAAAGTCCAGCTTCTGCTTTCGTAGCGTGTCATAGGGCAAACAATTGCCTGCAGAGTTCTGACCTTTGTAGATATAGGCACATCACCCCATCTGAGCATATTTTCTAAGGCTTTCATTGCAACCCCACCAAATGCTACTCTGCAGTGCATTTCTTGGTTCCTTTAGTGTTGACAGTCAATCCTAAAAAGCAAATCTATTTGCCACTTCAGTATATTCTTTGTCAGTTTTAAGGCTGGTTGTTGTACCTGTTGTCATTAGTCTGGTCTTTATATTTAAGTGTAATCTTTTTTTTTTTTTTTTTTGGGTGCACCTTGACTTTCATTAGCAGAGCTTCCAGAACATTTGCATTTTCAGCTGTCAGAGTAGGGTCGTCAGCATAATGCAGGTTATTGATGTTTCTTCCTCCAGTTTTTATAATAATATTTTATTGAAATTTTAAAATTACAAGGTTAAAAGTCAGAAATGAAAA